CATAAATAAGACACCCCCCCCGGCCCGCCCGCCCGCCCGCCCGCCCGCCGCCGTCCCGATGTCCTTTCCCCCAATGGCGCGCACCATTAGTCCCGACGTGGACAAATATATAAAACGACGCGCGATCAGCCTCGCGCGAACCCCTGGCCCATTAAAGCCTCGTTGTCACGTAGTAGCGCTTCTATATATAGGTGGTACCTGGGTGCGTGCGTGCTCGCGCGAGCGGGGGAGGAGAAAAACGAGAATTTTCGCCATTTGTCCTGGGAATGGAATGGGCCGTGAGCGACAAAAGACGTCTGCGACGACGACCGGCGACTAGGTTGTCCGAGTCTGAGACGCATGCGCGACTTATACCTGCCCGAACGTGTCCGTAGAGTGGAGGAGGGTCGGTCGTACGTGACGGGCGACAACGAGGAGAGGCCCAACGAGTCCCCCGAGAAGGGTACGGCTGTTGTACTGGGCTCCATTCGCTCGAGGGTGGATGGGGCTGGGCTGGGTGCCAAGGTTAAAGCGGCTTTGCTGCGTAGGAATCCTCCACTCGGCGCCCGATCTACCTCCAACGGGACTCGTTTTTTCTTCCTTTTTCTTTTTCTCACCGCTGCTCGATCGGAATTTCCGCTGCACTTGCTCGCGCTGCGTGCTCTCTTATCTCTCGTTTATTTTTCACTTTTAGCGGTATACCGGCTCGGTATGTTATATAAGCGCTGCCAGGGTGGCCGGCAAGTAACGTTCACGGGGCCGTCATCCATTTAACGATACCGATGACCCGACCAAGTACTTACAATGCAATGCCCAGTGTTATCGGGGTGGGCCGAGCTACCCACACTCGACCACAGTCCTCTCCCGTTTATCATATAGCGAATCAGCTAGTTACGCTGTAAAGTAACAATGGCAGGGGAATCAAATAGGTGGCTGAAAAATTAAAAAATTCCGAGCTTCGACTTCGCAACCATTTTTTATTGTCTCTTCTTCCTCTCTGGCGTTGCGCTGAAAATTCAAATCAAATACACATCCCGTTCTTCGCGGTAGCACAAACTTTCGCTTCTTCGTGGTGCAGACACCAGCGAGCGCTAGGATCGATAAATAAAAGCGTCGGGGGACAAAGGAATGCGCCATCGATCGTCGTCTCCTTCGTCGCGCATTTCCGTAGCTGCACGCACATAAGCTGCCCGTCGAGCGCGCGAAAGGTAAATACGCGCGCGCGCGCGCGCGCTTTCTAAACTTTCTAAAACAGGAAGACTGGCGTCCTTATCGGGCAAAGAAGTTGCCGACTTCTCCTCGATGTACTTTCACGAACGCGCCTCTGTATGAAGCAAGAAAACGAAAAATAAAAAGAAATATGTATATATATATATATATATATATATATATATATATATATAGAAGGATACGTGCTTAAATCGCGAAGCGAATTGTCTCCAGCCGCCGTTGATCGACGACATTTCACACTTTAACGGGCTTACACCAGCATCACCGCGCGCTTCCTCTTAAATCACCGGCTCAAGGTCCGCGTTCATTGCCTACACGGAAAGGCGCGTTTTCGGCTCCTTCGACGTCACAAATCCCTGTCCGCCGCTACTGTCGTCACCGCCGTCGCCGCTACAATCTCACGATCCGTCTCTCTCTCTCTCTCTCTCTCTCTCTCTTTCCTTAGAGCGACAATCTCGAGGAGCAGGAAGCGCGTCTCTCTTCCATTCTTGCGCGAGTTCCTCGACGCACGTTGCCAGACGGAAAGCAGTCACGCCCGTTGCGAGGTAACTGCATCGACGCACACACCGAGACTTACGAGTGCTCTGCCCTCCTTCCTCCATCCATCCTCCCCCTTGCCACGCCTAACCATAGCTTTTCCCTCCGGTAAGTAGTAACTTCACCCGAGTCTCTCGCATGAATATCGTTTCGTTACTTACTTGCAATTCATATCCGTTATGAATCTTGTAATCGGCCAGTATCGGCTCCTACTTATTCACGTTCGTTATTAATATTTCCGTCGACGGATTATTCCATCGTGTACTTTATTGTGTCGAATCGGCACTTCTCGCGCGTCGCCTATTTAAGGTGAAATTCCTCTCCTCTAATCCCATCGATCTTGTATTTTTAACATCCGTTTCGCTTTTTACTTTGTTCTCTCACCCTCTGCTCGATGATCCCCCCTCCCAAAATCCCTCATCAGATCCCGTCACGACGTAGCGATTCACGCACTCGCTTAGCGTCACTTAGCAATTTGTAGCATTCCGCGTTTTTTCAAGGCGCATTAGGGTCAAATTCCCGGGCGTGAGAATGGCCGAGAGCGGACAGATTAAAGCTCAATAGGATTTAAAACGAATAGAAATGAAAACGAAACTCATCTTCTTTTTTTCTTTTTTCTTTCTTCCATTATTTCCATTATCAGGCCGTGCATTTTCCAGTGTATTTTACATTGTTGATACTTCCGTTGGTTGTCGACGGACCGGTAGCAGGGAAATATTACGTAGCGCTGATCGACGATAAGGAAAGATTTTTAGGAACTGGCGACGTCGAGATGAAAAGGGACCTGCGCCGCGCCGTGCTGGGCCAAGCCCCGGGCCTCTTTGTGCCCCTCGACGACGATCCCAGTGACCGTGCAAACTGTGGAAATTCAGAAAGTAGTGAAAAACTTGACGGGCAAGGGGGCTAAAAAATTATTAAAAGTATCTTATTAAGAGATGCAAGGAATCGTCAATCATTGTAATATCTTGCCAATAAGCATCCCGCAAGATCATTATCATTAATCATTAATAAATAGTAGGCTTCGGTCAACGCGGTTGTCATATTCATAAGAATCGCCGTTGAGTGGTGTTGATGCGTTTCGTGGAGAGTGGCGGAGTGCGGGGGGGGGGGGTGCTACAGGAGGCTCATATGTAAAGATCAAGGGTTAACTTATATTTACATCTCCTTCTTCTTCACCTGTTTCAGACACATCGTACGAGAAGGCATGCAGAAGGGGCAGTGCTCCAGCCACCCCCGTACTTGGCGCACGACCACTCGACGTCACCCCCAATCGTATTGTCGTAAGTACCTCGATATCCGTTAAGGATTAATTCACATTTCCTCACCACGTATAAATTGTCAATTGCTAACTGATGCGACACGTAGCGTTGTTAATGCGCGTGCGCGTGAATTAGGGGCGATGGCACGCGGTAGTCGATGACGCGATTTCGCGAAAAGCGAATGACGCAAGGTTTGCCGTTAGCGAACTGCGATTATGCGAATGAAAAAGAACGAATTTTTGGCTCCGCATTGTGAACGGCTATTGCCGTTGGTGGCAGGATGCTTCGAGGTAAACGATTTTTTTTTTATTTTTTTTTTGTTGTTTTTTTTTGTTGTTTTTTTTTTGTTTTTTTTTGTTTTTTTGGTTTTTGTTTTTTTTGTTTTTTTTGTTTTTTTGTTTTTCGTTTGTTTGTTAAAGTGCAAATAAACAGTTCCTTAGGCTTTTCGAGAAAAAGCTCGATATAATGTTTTCTTGGCACGGACAAATAAAGCTGTTAAATGTATCATAAATTACATTGGATAAGAATGGACTTTTCAAATGTTATGTCGCATAAAGCATAGGGAATGCTTTTATAAATTTTCCGAATCAATAAGGTCAATATCAATAATAATTAATTGCTCCGAGATTTTAAAGATTTGTTTAAACTTGATAAGTGTCCAATGATAATTGGTTGCTTATACGCAAATATATTATTAACTTGGATTACCTCGATGTTCTATATGTGACCGATGAAAGTAAAGTTATTCATGATTTGTTTATTTAATACAATTTCCATTAAGATATCTTATTACACGGTTGACCAATGGAAAGAAAAACCACCCAAGTTGAGTCTCACTAGTCGATGTGAGTAGTGACTGCAACGTTTCAAGGGTAGCGAAAGAGAAATGTGACAGTCATTGGCCATTATAAGAAATTTCTTTTGCCATTCAGTTCATTAGCATAATCACGTGCCGTTAATAAGATCGCATTCCCAAAACCCATCACACATATAAAGAGACAAGATTTCGATGGACGTGAGTTGGACAATAATATGTGACTTGGCGGCTCCTTCGAATTTCCCTAAAATGCAATCACGTGGGTATTCAATTAGAGCTCCCGTCCCTATTTTTCTTTTGGCTTTGTGCAAATTCACCCACGACCTTCTCGAGTTTTCTATCCGTGCGCTGTGAAAAGAGCCGTGTGAATGACACGTTCGGGACTGACAGGGCAATTAAATTGACCCAAAAATGTTATATCTCGTAACTAGACGCGCAGACACTTTGAAACTCACGTATGACACAGACTAAGTGAGCAAAATATTCAATTGGGATCATTACTTCATGAGCTTTGAGCATCATTTATTTTTTATTTTATCCTAAATGATAACAATGTATCGGGGAATGCGTGTCGAAATGATCAAGGCTTATTAAATTAATATTTAGTTATTTCTTGTTGGTTGTGTGCAGTCAATACTTCAAGATAAGCTTTCTTGAAATTTGTCAAAAATTATTTCATTCGTGGTGTCGTCTTTTCGAAATGTTCTTCTTTACCATTTAATCTTATCGTATCTCACAATTATAGAAAATATGAATTGTATATTAACATTTATAGCAATAATTCAATTAATCTATATTTCTCAATGATAAAGCCTCCCTTTTAGATTAAAAGTTATTATATTAAATATTAAATAGATTTCATATATGAAATATTAGCACTTTCATCACTATTATATCTTTTGTTTTGTTTTTTTTTTGTTTTGTTTTTTATTTTATTTTTCTTCGTACTATTTAAGCGTTATTATTGACTTATACATTCAAGGCATTTAAAATTCCATTTTATTATACGAAGAAGAAAAACGAAAAGAAAAGAATAACTTTGTTCGTAAACTCCTTTAAGAGTCCGTAGAAAATTAGTATTATATTAACAGAATAAAATTAATTTTATTAATATGTATTAATAATATTATTTGTATATATATATATATATATATATATATATATATATATTAGCCATAACCGGTCTGATGAAAATTTTCTTCTAAAAGATAAAAAGATAATTCAGAGAAATGTTTTGAGCTTTTTCAATAAACGATGAATGAAAGGAAAATTTTGTAAACTTATATTTGACAATAATTTCATTAAATATCAGTACGTGTGCACTAATTAGTGTAATTATTTTACTGCTTGAAAATATTGACGTGGATATGTATTTCTTGATTACTCCTTGAACATAATATCAGTACAATATAATGCGAACAATTGCCTTTTGTCGCGTAAACCATTATATCATCATTAAACACAACATTATTTCTCACTTAAAAATGCCATCATACCATGAATGCATTACCATCAAGAGAAAAAATGAAAAAAAAATCAAAAACATAAGTCATATATAATATGCGTTCGTGAAAACTATACTTTATTTAAAGATGATGGCATTTGATTAAATTAACCGTTCAATTCAACTGGAAATGAAAGCTTCCTCCACACTTTATATAACTTTATATTTAAATTTTATCAATAATTGATTATCTCAATAATAGCCGGCGAATCGCGTTATCGTTACACTGTTCCACGATGCACAATATACGATATGCTAATATCTCCGCGGCATTATATTAAAATCTATCCCCTTGAAACCGGTCACCGGATAATTTTTCATTTCGCGCAACGTACGCTGACAAAGAAGAATAGAGGTGGAGATCGATTATGAGCAAGGCAAACAAACGGATGACTACCGGTTCACGGGTGATATTTCTCCGAGCTCGGGTATCGGACTATCAAAGGAGGAGTTCGGGTTTCCTATCCTCCGGATCCTATGCACCGGACAACAAGTGCAATATTCCTTCTAAGTAGAATTTAACCTGCGAACATCCACTGGGCGAGCAGTTTCATTCGCGTAAATTTTTTAAAGGGTCGAGGAGCGGGCGAGAGCCTCGGTTCCGATAAATTTCTCGGCGTTTCCGCGAATACTTTACATTAGCCACTTACTTCCCCTTCAAGCTGCATTAGATGATTCATCCGAGCCGTAAGACATTTCGCATTTCACATATTTCTCCTAGTATTTCGCTGCTTTAAAAAAAAGGCAATTATTACAGTCGCGTGTAGCCGCTTTCGATTCTTCTCCGTTCTGCTCTTCTGTCTCACACCAATCCGCACCATATGGTCTCCTTCGAGCAACTTCAACTCATCCCCTGTATTTCAGCCCGAGTATCCTTCCTGCAACTTTTCGCCTCCATCGCTCAACTTCTCTCACTCTACACTTCGCGCTGATGAATATTCAGGAGGCGAGGAGAGTTCATTGTACTTGCTCGGTGGTCCGAGGCTTTTGGATCGATAGACTCTCGGCGTTAATTAGGGCACGTTGCAGCGACGTCCTCGTCGTCGTCGTCCTCGTCATTACCACTATCATCGCAGTTGCGTATAATAAAGTAATAATCGTAACTCTAACGCCGTCGTTTCTCGTTTAGTAATCATCGGGATCTGGGTATCATCGATGATTCGCATTACTTTTACAATATGTATCTTGTGTTACATGGCAATGAGAAAAAAAATTTATTTATTGGATTGTTGGCCCTTGGATTTGCTAACTATAAGCGGCTCGTTTTTTTTTTCTTTTTTTTCTTTTCTTTTCTTTTTTTTTCTTTTCTTTTCTTTTTTTTTTTTTTTTTTCATTCTTTTTTTTTTCATTCTTTTTTTTTTTAGTAAATAATGCTAAAGCGCTGCGTAGTCGGCTGATGTATTGACATTTGCTATTGCGTTTAGCAATAAGGTGTCGTCGTCGACAGAGGAAAGATTCAATAAACGTAAAATAATGGATATTTCATTATTGAAATATTATTGAAATACTTAGCGTTGCTCGTTGCTCTTATAAACACAAGTAATCCTTCATCATTGTGAAAACAACAAGCTAAATAGCTCCTTTTCTACAGGAAGGAGAGATTGTTCTTCTTCCTTTTTATTTTATTTAATTATTTAATTTTTCTTTTTTCTTTTTACTTTTTCTTTATCTTCTTTTAACGTGAAGTTTCCTTTATATTGTCGTAAAATTTAACGAATAAAAAAGAGAAATCAATTAAAATCGGACTGAAATTAATGACATCTTTATGGTTGTGTAATAATATCGAGGGAGACTATTAATATTTATAAGGACGGGAGTCATGATAGAATTTTTATATGGTAGATACTGTGCATCAATCATTGTGTTTGTCATAACAGTAAGGCCAAAAGAATTACGATTTCATTATCAGAAATCGGTTCAATATCATTATACAATATCCTCTGAAGATTAATCACTCGACCAAATTAAGCTACATAAAGGAATTTCGAGTTTTTATTGCCCTTTTCATTAGCGATAGACTCGCTATTTCTCATACCTTTTAAAAAAATATCAACACCCATCCGCACAACGGCTTGCCTACCAATTTTCTAATATCATAGTACTCTCATTTTCAATTGTTAGGACAATGCAACGACTAACGAATAAAACTATTGGAGGGGAGGGTGGGTGGGTGGGTGGGGGGGGGGGGGGGGGGGAGGCAATTGGGAATGCGTGATTCCAAAGTATAATTGTTTATTTGCAAAGATATACCGGAAAAGTGTTAAATTAGCTATTATGGTTATTCGTAGCGAGCGAGCATCCAATGTCACTGCAATGCCTGGCATCCTAATGGAGCAATTCGACCCAAAAGTATTATTGGCCTACAAATGGAAAAAAGACCTTACACGTGACAATACGGATTTTCTTTACGCGATTACCGAGCCAACAGCATGGAATCGTGGCTCACGAGTACCCCGCACCGAGTACACTGGCTCCGACTATTCTTTATTGGCCAGCGACGTACCCGATATTTTCACAGTGCACTCGCGATGAGAGAATGTCGGGTGTAGGAATGAATGAGGAAATGAAAGAAAGATGGAAAGAAAGCCAGGAGCGATATTTTTCCGAGCGAATCGCCGGAGCAACGATGAACGATGATACAACAGCGGAAACGCATTCTTCGGCATTGGCTGCCGCAGCCGCCCCGCTTCCTGCCGAACT